AATTCAAAATGAAACTGTAACACTGGCTTCAATTAGCTACCAAAATTTTTTTCTCCAGGTTGGAGCAATCTATCTCTCATCTCAATAAGTGTTGCATCTCTAGAAATTTATGTTCTTGAAATTAATTAATTAATTTACCTGTACAGTTCCCAAAACTTTGTGGGATGACTGGCACTGCGGCAACTGAAAGCACAGAATTTGAAAGCATATACAAGCTTAAAGTTACAATTGTGCCAACAAACAAGCCTATGATTAGAAAGGTATGCTATACTGTTCTAGCATACCATTATAAAATGATGATACTAGGCTATAAAAATTGTACTACAAATATGAACTCTTATTTCCATTTCTCATAAATAAGTGGTTTAATAATTAGGTTTGAATACCTTGTATAAAAAATATAAGTAGATTTGCATAAGAGGTGATGGTTTATTTACTATAATTAGGTACAATGCCTTTCAAGTTTCTCATCATCTCTTCAATCTCTTTCTCAGGATGAGTCCGATGTAGTTTTCAGGGCAACTACAGGAAAATGGCGGGCAGTTGTAGTAGAGATTTCTAGAATGCACAAGACAGGTCGTCCTGTACTTGTTGGCACAACTAGTGTTGAGCAGAGTGACTCGTTGTCTGAGCAGTTGCAAGAAGTTGGAATTCCCCATGAGGTGTGGTCTCCTCTGTCATTATGGTTTAAGTTCATTACTTAGGGATTTTGTACATATAATTAAATTATTTGATGTACAATTGAGAGTGAATTTAATCTTTAAATTATTTTTGTTTCTCTAACTTTGGATAATTTTATTTAGAAACTGTAGAATACTATATGTCCTTTGTGAGAGGAAATTTAGTATTTTTGTTTTTATTTTTATTTTTATTTTTTATGTAGGTTCTCAATGCAAAACCAGAGAATGTGGAAAGGGAAGCAGAAATTGTAGCCCAAAGTGGTCGTCTAGGGGCAGTGACCATTGCGACCAATATGGCAGGTCGAGGAACTGACATTATCCTTGGTGGGAATGCTGAATTTATGGCAAGGTTGAAGCTTCGGGAGATGCTTATGCCAAGGTATCATCATCTGAGCTTCAAGAATATTTTTATTTATATTTATTTTTTCTGTTAAAGTTTACACCCTTAGACATGCAGTCTGGACTCCTAGTGCTTAACATGTTGGAAACTTGGACTTAAATGTTTACCAGACATCAATACCGCCTAGAAGACTGTTAGTCATAGAAAACAATTACTAGGACTTTAGCTCTTAAAAATTCAATAAACATCAAATATTATTTCGACATTGAACATTTTACTGCCATTCTACTTTAGAGTCTTCATATATTTTCTTATTATTATTTTCATAAGAAACATACTTCCATTAAATGAAAATGAAATAGTACATAACAGAGGACAAACATAGTCTGCTGATCAATGTCTAGGAAACATATTTTAGAATATTGAGAATAACTTGCATTAAAGGAAGAATCGATTACCACTGAGTGTATTTGACTGTTGCATGGGGTCTTGTATTCTGGCAATTATAATAATTTATTTTCAAATACTCCGTAGGCTTTTGTTTTGTTTTTGTTTCTCAAAAGTTATCTATGGTTAAACATACATTTCATTCTGCTTATAATTTTCTCGCAGAGTTGTTAAGCTAACTGAAGGTGGTTATGTGTCAGTGAAAAAACTTCCCCCAAAGAAAACATGGAAGGTGTGTTTTTCCTTTTGGTCCTGATCTGTAATTTGTTTTGCTTTAGGCACAAAAGTTCCGATATTATAAGCACAAACTCGCATTGTTCAATGATTTTATTATCTTGAAACTCAGAATGACTTTTCCAGGTGAATGAAAACCTATTTCCGTGCAAACTGTCCAATGAAAAGACCAAGTTGGCTGAGGAAGCTGTAAAGTTAGCTGTTGACACGTGGGGTCAGAGATCATTAACTGAGCTTGAAGCAGAGGAGCGTCTATCATATTCTTGTGAAAAGGTGAATCTTTGACGCTTATCTGGAACTTCTATCCTTATACTGCTGGTTGGAGATGACTAAATCTTTGCATTTGTTAGGCCCCTGCTCAGGATCCAGTCATAGCCAAACTGCGGAGTGCCTTTCTAGAAATTGTTAGAGAATACAAGGTCTACACAGAGGAAGAAAGGAAGAAGGTTAGTTTCGTTCCACGAAATAAATTTTCTCCAACTCTCTGTATCAGTCTTGATTATGTTTTTTATATTTCTACATTTCTGCAGGTTGTGTCAGCTGGTGGGCTTCATGTTGTGGGGACAGAGCGCCATGAATCTCGCCGAGTTGATAATCAGGTTTAGGTCTTGGAAAGATTAGTGATACTGTCTTCAGTTAGCTCAGGCTGTTCTATGACTTGTTTTTAGTTGAATTTCCTTGTTTTCTCAAAATGCTTTAGACATGAGAGTTTTCCTGCCAGAGAGCATGCCTCGAAATTGATTTTAGTAATTTGTAACTATGTAGCTGCGTGGTCGAACTGGCAGGCAGGGGGATCCTGGAAGTTCTCGCTTCTTCTTAAGTCTTGAAGATAACATATTTCGTATATTTGGTGGAGACCGTATTCAGGTTTAAACTTTGATTCTGGGTTTCTAATTGCTAATGCTGCTGTAGGCCTGTTAACAGATGATTGTTTTTGCAACATGTAGGGTTTAATGAGAGCTTTTAGAGTTGAGGACCTACCAATTGAGTCCAAGATGCTGACCAAAGCACTAGATGAAGCTCAACGGAAAGTGGAAAATTATTTTTTTGACATCCGAAAGCAATTATTTGAGTTTGATGAAGTCTTAAACAGCCAAAGAGACCGTGTCTACACAGAAAGAAGACGGGCCCTTGAATCTGACAATCTCCAATCGCTTATAATTGAATATGCTGAACTAACAATGGATGATATCTTGGAGGTCTGTGGGCCAAGCAATTTTTATTTTTATTTTTTATATGTTTTTTTTATAAAGATGTCTGTATCTGATTCTTGGGTCTGTGAAATTATTTTGTTTAAAAATAGGCAAATATTGGTTCAGATGCTTCAAAAGAAAGCTGGGATCTTGAGAAGCTCATCAAGAAACTTCAACAGTAAGTTGCATCTTTCAATCTCTGTGCTTGTGCAAAAACTGTAAAGAAAAGATTGTCAGACGAATCATGGTGCATCATGTCTTTCTTATCGTACCATGCAATTACAGGGTGCTGAGTTTTTAAATTCTCTTAGAAAACCTATTACTGTATAAGTATATCTGAATGAAAGAAGATTAACTATTTAAATTGTTGTAACTGCCAGAGTTTTGTTAAGTTCTATATATATGACCTTTTTATGCAAATTCCTAATTTCTTGATGAAGGTTGCTTTATGCATGAAAAATCTTCTTTTTATGTCAATTCTATGATTTATCTCCTTGTTTGATTTGGCTCTTAAAAGATTTCTAATGACAACATATTTCCTTGGCTTTAGATATTGCTACCTATTGAATGATTTGACACCAGACTTGCTGAGGGGCAACTGTTCAAGTTACGAGGATTTGCAGGACTACCTTCGTCGCCGTGGTCGTGAAGCATATTTGCAGAAAAGGGTCAGTATAATAAGTTTCTGTAAGAAGACATTTCCAGATTATTGGGATTTTTTTGATCTCAGCACACTTGGAGTGATGTTTCATTATAATTAGATGGGGAAGCTTCTGCTAATTATGATTACGATTCTGCTAAATGTGAGCCATGAATGAATACTCTGACATATAAGATAATCACAACTTGCGGCTGAGAACTGTGAGTAGCTCTTTGAGAAGTTAGTTTTGTGAGCTTTCCTGACTGTAAAGTTGAATATGTATAATGGCACACCAAGTCCTACAACTGATTGCCGTCTTTTGTTAAGACTAGCCTTGGGTTTGCAAACTAGGGTCGATAGTGATGTTCTGAGAGGCATATAATTCTGCTAATTTGTGTTCTGCATGGTATCAGTTCCTGATATTTTTTATCTGTGTATCAGGATATTATCGAGAGTAAAGCACCAGGCTTGACAAAGGATGCCGAAAGGTTCTTAGTTTTGAGCAATATTGATCGCTTGTGGAAGGAGCACTTACAAGCACTTAAGTTCGTTCAGCAAGCTGTGGGATTACGTGGATATGCACAAAGGGATCCACTTATTGAATATAAGCTTGAAGGCTACAATCTTTTCTTAGAGATGATGGCACAGATAAGAAGAAATGTTATATATTCCATATACCAGGTGTGTATTAAATGAACACTTATAAAATTTTCATCAGAAACATGTTGGTCAAACATACCAATTTTTCAATTCTGATTTTGTTTTCGGTGTTTTATTATTTGGCAGTTTCAACCGGTGCTGGTAAAGAAGGATCAAGACCAAAGAGAGAATAAGAGTTCAACAGAAGTTGTCACAAATGGTAGGGGTAATAATAACCCTGATCCAGTTAATGCCATTGAGTCTTCTTCAGCAGCTGCGACCCCCCAATCTAGTGCTTGAAACCTACACACGGTTATTCCCTGCAGAAGTTCAAAAGGAAGAGGTCCAGAGATGGAAGCATCATTCCATTATGTTGATTGGTATATATTACTGTACAATGTAAAATTTTGGAGTCAGGGTGTAAAATCTCAAAAACATTTTCTTGAAAATAGGAAAGTGGGGATGGGGTTTTATCTACCGTATTATTACAAAAAGGTGGACCGAAGATTGACAAATTTGTTGTAACACTTGGGTGTGGGATGCAAGTACATTGTTAATCATAATGAGAAGAAATTGTAAGATTACTGTCTTTCTTCCATTCATTGGCTTGATTAGCTTAAAGCTGACGAAATTAGGGAAGGATCTTGATTGTACTGGATTTGGACTCCACGGAAATAACGGCAATGCGATTTCAATCTGGTTTTCAAGTAATGTACTGCATTAAGATGTTCTCCTAGCCTTTTGGTTGCCACTTGCCGCACAAATGTTTAAGTGTGAAACAACCTTGTAGAGCTATGAAATTGAAGATTCCTCCAGACATGAAGTAATTCAAGAAATGGCCAGTAATATGTAACAAGTTAACTACACAGTCAGTCATTCATATGATTATTTGGACAAGCCACTGAAACATGACCAAAGAAAGACTGCTTTCTTCAACATCTACAAAGGAAAGGAGCCTCATCTCTGGACTTGCCCATGTGCCGTTGTAAGCACTGGAGTCGAGTTGAGGCATTCAATTCCAAGTCGAATTGTATTGCCGCGGAGAATTTCGTCAATAAGTTGATTAATGGCATTTCCTTTGGCCTGCAGACAATTTAGAATGTTTCATAGGAAATGCTTTGAGTTGGAGCACAAAATAAAAGAAATCTAAGTAAGAGAGGTTTGAGGTGACAGAGAGAGGCATATGTGTAGACTATAGTTTACCTTAACTCCAATGGCAATGGCAGTTTTAAGTTGAACAAGTTGACCCAATCTTAAAGAAGCTCCCTTGTTATCTTTGAGAAAGATCAAGGGGACCTTCCTTGACAGGGCCAAGCTTGGCAGATGCTTTGACAGCCATCGTGGATTGCAATCAGAAGCTATCAGAACAGCCTGAAGCCCAATGTATGGTGCTTTAGTACGATTAGAAGCTAAGCCTGGGGCCAATGGCGTCAATGGCGGTGTCACTGGTGGCATGCGTTCAAGGACACGAGTGACTTCATTCACCCCTATTGCAAATTGTTGCTACAAAAATATACAGAAAAAAAAAAAGTTATCAGTTTATTATGAATGATCAAACACGAACACGTAAGCAAGCATACATATATGATATGATGATCTGAATCCAATTATACAAACCTTGAACCACATCTTTTCGGGTAAACACATGCTATCATCCATCATAAGTCTTGCTGACTCTATCTTTCTGTGAAAAACAAAAACAGCATTCAAGTTAATATTTTAGATATTTTAATGGATAATATTGTATCAGTCAAAGTTCATAACATAACGTAACCTCTGAATTGATTGGAGCAGACGATCGAGACGTTCCCCTTCATAGCAACTGCATTGTAAACAAACAGAGATTAAGTAAGTTAACAACCTATTTGTCGTTAAAATAATTGGAACGCGAAAGTGCCAGACACCCAACCCAAAGGAAGGACCCACGTACTCTTGGTCTTGAGACTTGGAAGCGTGGATGATGCGCCCTTTAGAGTCTTTGTTTCTGGGTGGCATGTTTACGCACACTGACTGCTTGATGAAAGACCTCCTCAACCAGCCTGCTCAACGTCTTTACCAAAACGGAAAAGAAAAAGAAGCGAAATTCTATACCGAGGGTGCCATAAGCCTCAATTCAATGCCCCAATGGAAAGCGCCAGGCGTTGGGCCTACAGACTGTGAGATATTGGAGACCAACAAAAGGCACCAAATTAGCGCTAGCGGGCCCAGAATCCTCTAAATATTGTCGATGTCTCTCCTTAGTTTTAAATCTAAACCATCCACATCTTCGGAAAGAAAATCCAAAGGCTACAAATACCGCATCTCAGCTCATAGTGTTGTTATTAGTTCAAAAAGGAAAGGTAAAGATATTTTAATCCTTGGTTTTTAGCCTTATTGCAGTCTTGTGAGTGTGGATGATGTGCCTGTTCAATGGAAAAAGACTTTAACTTGTAGACAAGAGGTCTTAGGTTCGAATCCAATGACATTTTGATTGTGCGTATCACTTGATACTACTACGTGATAAGAATGGCCTCCACATAAGTTTTCTTATATGAGAAAGAAATGTTACAAAAGATGACATTTTCATAACAAAATGGCATTATGCATTGCCATTGCTAAGGTTCACGTTAATGACAAATTTCCTTGCTTTGCCTGCTTCCAGCACCCTTGTACGCAACAAGTTCAATTATGAATTGATTGCCATTTATTAATGTTTTTTTTTTTTTTAAAGAGGGAAGAAAGTGTTGCAATTATGCAAGTCGAAATCAGTGGAAAGATTTGAACAACGTAAGTTAAGGAGAAAGAGATGGTAAATCATGAAAAGAGTAGGTGAGCTGAGCTAGCATTCATGCGGTGGGAGTCAAATGACAGACATTGATATCATGCTTTAAAGTTTACAACCACCATATTTGTTCACTGGTTGTGTTTTGCTTGGGCTAATGTGGGCATAGGATACCTCAATACTTTGGAAACCTTAGTACCTGCTTACCCTTTTTCAGAATGCTACAGATTACGACCACACTTCCCTCTCTCCCTCTCTCCCTCTCTCTCTTGTCCGGGCCTTGGACCTTGTCCCCCTTTTTTTGGACAATTCTTTTCTCTCAAGTCTTAGTTTATGGCTTAAATTTCTATGAATTTCTACTACTGCAACATGTAATTTACATATAAACATAATACACAAGTCTAATTATGTTGCTTCATCTAAACACTTACTTTACCTTGTTAGGAAGGATTAAGAATAATTCAATTTGGCATGCTTGTCTGATACCTTAACATATAATATTTAATGTATAATAATAATAATAATAACAACCTCCTCAAGTGACAGAATGTCATATACATAATAACTGGAAAATTCATTGAATGAAATAGATGAAAAATTATCTATTAAACCTTTTGTTATGATTTAAGAGTTGGAAAACATAAATGATATGACACTGCAGACAGTGAAAATGTGATTGCTGTCTTGTTAGCTTGTTTTGTTTCTGATTTTGCTAGGAGTGGACAATAAAATAAAAAGAGTGAACTAGTAAAATTGACCAAAGTGGATGGTTTGGTTCGGTTTTTATTTTAACTTTTGTCTATGTTTATACTCAAAAACCAAACCAGCTTGAACCGGTTTGGGTACGATTTCAATTCTCCTAGGATTGAGCAAACCGAACAGGACCAGTCCCTACCCATTTTTAAAAAAAAACATTACAGTAGTATATACAATCATATTTTTCTCCTAAACATAGTGCATATGGCATGCCTCACCTTCTCTCTCATGTCTCTCATCTATATCTCAACTCTTTCATCGTTATCGTAGATCTAAGAACTGATCTCACTCCTCAAAATAGAGTGTCTTTCACTCCATATCTGAGCAAATCTCACCTCTCCGAGCAAACCCCTGCCTCTACACTCCGAGCAAAACATGGAGTATCTGACGAATGGACCAAAAAGGGTGTGATTTGGCTCTATTAAAATCACCCAAGTTCACCGGAACCAATCTGAATCGAAAGTTTGACTACAATTTAGTCGGCCAAACCAAGTTGTACCCGCCCCTAATTTTGACTTAATTTCTTTCACCGATTCACTAATCATATAAACCTATTTTTTTTGGCTAGACTAATCATATAAACCATTGAACTACTATTTTATTGTGAGTTAAATAAATGTTTACAAAAAATTAATTTTCAAACCATGAACAAAAAGATAATAAATTCCAGGTCAAAATCCCAATTGGGTCCAATTGCAGGAAGCACAAGTTTTAAATAAAGGAAGTGAAAATGGAAATGAGGATTAGACAAGAGAGTATGAGGAGCGTGAGCAATGGCAAAGTGGCAAGCAAAAGGAGAGTGTGTGTTTGTCAGTTGGTTTTGCTTGGTTAATCCGCCAAACAAGTCACGTTGTTTGGCCTTGTAACTTGTAATCTTTATTTGTAACTAGTATTTGTTGCCCTGAAAAAAATCAAAATCAAAATCAAAATCGAAAACAAAATCAAAATCAAAATCAAAATCAAAATCTAATACCCCAATCCCTGGGCTTGTAGCCTGACTTTTGTTCGTATCCGATGTCGCACGTTGCAGGTATGAAACTCTAATTAAAGTTTAAACTCCCCAAAAAAGCTATGAACTGTGTTTATATTGTTTACTACTTGCTACAAGTACAGACAAAAACTACAAGAAACAACAACAACAACAGAAAAAGAGAGACTTTTCAAAAGAGAAAATCATTCATGAGCAAACAAGTGGAATTTAATTTCTCAGTCTTTGACTGGTAAATTCAATGATCCTCTAGTTTGTCACATGAATTGAGATGTGCATGAGCATGACAGAGACCCCATCTATCACCATGCCAAGATCAATGGTGCAAATTAAGCTTTATTCTTGATGATGAGTTTCTGAAACTCTCTCTCTCTCTCTCTCTCTCTCTCTTCCCTCTTGTTCAGCAGGAATCAGGAAAAAGCCAGTGTCAGTGACACAGTGGGCGTGGGTGCTCCCAAAAATATACTAAGAATCAGAAGCACAACACCCCAGCCTCCTTTTCTTTTCTGGGTAGCCTCCAGTTTTCATCAAAACTTGCTACTGCTCTGCTTTGAGTCTTCGACACAGAGAAGGAGAAAGTGACGTATTGGAGAAGCTCAAGTCAACAAAAGCATAGGGGACCTACTGCTTAATTTTTGGCGGGCAGCAACGGTCACTTTCAATGATTTTATGTGGGTGGTGGTGGCTTTCTCCCTGACCCATCTACTCACTCTCTCACACACTTGCTTTGCCTGTTTAGCTTAGTTTGGCTATTTTACCTATTGCCCGTGATCTTCTCAGTTTGATCTTTCATTTCATTTTTAACCAACCCTCCAAGCTTTCTCCTTTTCGTCTCTCTGCCTTCGCTTGTTGCTTGTTTCATCACAACGAAGGAGATTGAACTGAGGCGGACACAGGCTTTCTCAAGCTGCTTGGGCTGTAACGGCAAAAGCAGATCTCAATCATATGAGGAGATCTTCTACTGTGAGTTACTTTTACTGATCATTTGCTTTCTCCCCTCTTCTGGTTATATAAAATTTCCCCTTCCTTTTTTTCTTTCTCAAAATGGTTGCTACTTTTGTTTAGAGTTTGAAACAGACATGATGTTCTTGGATTAATTAGTAGGCATGTATCAGATAGAGACTTGATTCATCTGGTTTCTGGCTCAATTAAATACTAACAAAGATCTAATTTCGCATAGATGGTCTCTCTGTAATGTAGAAACTTGAAATTTACAACTTGGTGTCCTAAAATGCAAAAATCAGGCTCTTTCCATCTCAAATTGTTGTACATCTGCCTTACTATTTTTTTCCTTGGCCTTTTGCGCTGCTAGATCAACATACCTTGACTAAAACCAATAACTGCATCTGCATCTCAAAAGGCCTACCAAGGCTGAGCACTCAGATCCCATAGTTGACCAGCTTTGACACTAATCTATGTCCAAAATAAATACATGTTTCAGCTGGTGGATGTGTTTCTCCTACTTGCATTGTTCAGTGGTGCTCCATGGGCTGTCAAGGGCAGTCCACATTGCAGCAAACAGGCCAACTCAGGAGAAATTCGACCTCACAGTGTCACTATCACTGAATTTGGCGCTGTTGGAGATGGGGTCACTCTCAACACAAAAGCCTTTCAGAATGCCATCTTCTATCTCAATTCCTTCACAGACAAGGGTGGGGCCAAGCTTTTTGTCCCAGCTGGCCGGTGGTTGACAGGAAGCTTCCATCTCATCAGCCATCTAACCTTGTGGTTGGATAAAGATGCAGAAATTCTTGGATCAACGGTAATCTTTCACCCTCTTTCCAAAAGTTAAAAGATGCAATAAAGACTTTGGTTGATTAATTGCAATCTGCCCTCTTTGGATACATTTGTCCTCAAATTTGGCCCTCTTTTGATTCGTTTTTTCCACAATTAATCTAAAATAGGCTCCTTAATACAATGTACTGTAAGAACCTAATTCACAATCCCACAGATAGAGTATTGTCCTTACCAGAGAGATCTTGTCTGAAATGTAAGCATTACTGCTAGTCCCAAAGGGTAACTATTTTCAATCTCCGGATAAGAGTTGAGATCCGAGTTCAATAAGGTAGTGCTATCTGTTGTGACCATGTGGGCACAGGACTAATATTTAGCTCATAATACTCAGTAACTTCTTCTGGAATGTTCCAGAACTCTGATGACTGGCCAGTTGTTGACCCTTTACCATCATATGGTCGAGGAAGGGAGTTGACAGGTGGAAGACATCGAAGTCTCATTTATGGACGCAATTTGACGGATGTTATCATAACAGGTTGGTAATATAAGATGAGGAATCATCTCACATGTGCATTTTGCTTGATTTATTGATGTTGCTGTTCTCCTCATGCAGGTGATAATGGGACTATCGATGGCCAAGGCAGCATCTGGTGGAATTGGTTCCATAATAAAACCCTGAATTACACAAGGCCCCATTTGGTGGAATTGATGAACTCAACTGGGATTGTGATCTCAAACTTGACCTTCCTAAATTCACCATTTTGGACCATTCACCCTGTATATTGCAGGTTAGTTTTAGCCACAAGGATTGAATAACATTTTTCTTCCTTGTTTGGTAGATTTCAAGTGTTTTCAGTATCATACTAAAAATAAGGAAAAAGGGAAGCTTTTATGAATTAGAGGGAG